TAGTGCTACTCTCCATAATTTTTCACTGTAATCTGTGGGGTTCCTGAAGTCTCAAGATCAAAGGCCCCAAGCTGTATAAAAGAAAGACTGAGCTATTCATGGCTATTCTGGTTCTGAATCTGAGATAGCTGTGAACCTGTAACCAAGCAGAAAACTCAGAGCCTGAGACTGGATTTGGGAGTGACCTCTGGCAAGCTTTGTAGCATACATGTAGGTTCTGTTATTGCTTTTAATGTGTTTTCTCTGTAATGCTTTTACCGTAAGAATAAATGTACTTGCTTTTAAAGAGCTCTGTGGTAACCTACAGGCAATTATAGATGTTCATAGCCTTCAGAGAGAAAGCAAAGCACAGATGCTGGCTTGTTTGAGCAGTCAGGCTTGCTGGGCATATCCGTGTCGGCAAGGAATTGTGCAGCCTGAAAAAGCCTGGTCAGGAGGGAGACAGAGAGGTGGGTCTCTCCCAAAAAGAGGTGATGGCTGAGGAGCCTAGAATGCAGGCCCTTGATGAACCACAGAGGGGGAAATACGGGTACAGTTGGCCTGAACTGTGACAATTATTCTGGCTGTTTTTGCTACTGGAGAGACCTCCACGGCTTGGACAAGGATGTTTAACAAGTAATCAGCACTAGGACCATACCAGGCCTGAGGCAATTCTCCTTTCAAGGAGAATCTCAGAGGCTTGTGATGTGAGGTCGGACTAAACAAAAAAATGCGGGACTGTCCTTGGAAATGTGTAAAGCTCCCTTTTGTGGTCAGTTGGTTGGCAGGATTTGCCTGTGGAGAAAGAGCTCAGGAGGCTTCATTTCCATGCCCTCTTCTTGCAGGGTCTTAATGCAGAGGCTGCTGCACTACAATGTAAAGCAAATCATATGGAGCAAGAGTGTGTGTATTTCTCTCCTATGGCAGAGAGTTGAGCCAGCCTGGCTGGTTGCAAGGTGTCTTCGGTCGTTTAGCTCACTCACGGTAACTGAGACTGCAGCCCAGGAGGTAGAGAGAAGGGGAGTAAGACAAACCCAGTCCTAGGAAGGGATAAAAGAGGGAGCTAATGAGATGTGGAGAGGGGAGAAAGGTTTCCTGTGGCTGCCCTCTGCTTTGTGCAGCCCACGGGGACTGCTGGTGCCAGAGCTGGTCTCCCTTTTGTGCAGCCCTTCACTGAGCCTCATGTTATGACTGTGGCTCACGGTGGACAGCCCTTGTGGTGAGGCAGATGCAGATCAATAGCCACTAGGGACAGCTGAAGGCATGGCTGAGTGAGGCACAATCCAAGGGTCTAAGCCCCAGCCAGCCAAGTGCAGAGAAGCCACTTTTAATTTGCCAGCAGCAAGACATGTGAGTCGATCCATTGGGGCTGGTCCAATGCTCCCATTGACTTCAACAGGCCATGGAGTGGGCTCCTAGCTAGCAATGTGTGTGTTTGCGTGGGGGGAGTTAACATAGTCCCTTGCTCTAAAACAATAAGGCTTTTAAAAATAAGCCATCTGCATGGAGCATATTGCATTGGAGCGTTTCCTATTTCCGGTTCATAACCATTCACTTAAAGCTTTATCACCAAGTAAGACAAACCTTATGGTTTGAGAATCTATCACTCCTATTGCTTTTTCTGAATGGGCCATGGGAAATTATAGGCTGCAGCAGCAGGCAAAATAACCTTTGTAAATTATGATGATTGGGTCTCCCCCCCCCCCCGCACTCATCCCTGTGTGGGGGGCGAGTTTTCTTTCTGCTTTTGCTACCATCTGGCAAAAGGCCAGCCCAAAACAGAAATAATTTACATTGAGGCCAGTCAACCTAGCTTCATATTTGGCTACTCATCTGCTTGATTAATGGAATGTGGGATCCTGGCTGTGACAACACTCTGTTTGTTATATTTACACCCGCTATCCCTCCAGATCTACTTCTCTCAGCTTTCCCTCTGGGGAAGCCAAGAGCGAGGCCGCATTCAAGTGATGGTCAATGGTTAGCCTTCTCCCAGTGCTATTTCCCTTATTTATAATCCCTGCCCTCCTCTCCCACCTATGGGAGCACTTTATTATGAGCCATGGAGAAGCGCAAAGCGCTCCTTGAACTCCTTAGATCAGCGCTGGTCTTTCTGAGATGAACAATGTGAACAACCGAGTGACAGGTAGCCAGCTGCCGTTGCTCACTGTGGCCTGAGCTCTCCATCTGGTCTGTGGCTACTTCATTGTAAATCACGTGCCATGCAGGGAACTACTTTAGCCAGGCCTCTTATTTATTTTATTGCACAGTGCCATAAATCTGCATCATCTTTCATCAGGTGTTGTGTTTGAAATACACCTCTTCCAGGTCAGTAGAAGATCTAATTCCCAGCCTTGTTTCGTGTACACTCTGGGAATCAAGGAAAGAAGGCATAAGATGGTCTGGCCCTTTAATGCAGGAAGGAACTGTGTCCTGTGACTCCACCTACCTTCAGAGAAGCCCCCCAGATAGAAACTAGAAAACAGCCAGACACTCTGGAGATCATGAGACTAACAAAGTTAACCCTTTGCATAACTCCCAGAGAAGTCAGTGGAGGGATGAACTGGCCCCAAGATATCTCAGACATGTTGAAAATCCCTGTTTCATTGATTTTTTGTTTGTTTTTGTTTTTTGTGTGTCTGTGTGCATTCTCTCCCCTCTTATAGGAGCCTGGCAGACAGTTGAGACCCAAATTCACATTTGTGACTAGGACTGTTTGCTTAGCTAGTCATACCATATCAGAGCAGGGCATGTGCCAGATGATTGGGTGGTGGGAAGCTGCTAATAACTGGAGCTGGCCAGAAAATGTTTCGAAATTTTGAAGAAAAAATACAAAAAAAGTTGGAAAATGTTCCCGACAAAATTATTTCATTTTTTTTCAACAAGGCCTGATAATAATTCTTGTTGTTCCTTAGAAGCCGGATCACCTGGTGAAGATTTGCATACCTGAGTCAACAGACTTATTTCAGCTGAGAATCTCGCCCGAAAACTTTACCTTTTTATTCATTTAATGAGCTAAAAGTAATAACAAGGGTTGGGGACCTTAGATTCTGGCCAAGAAGTGGACTAGATCCTTACAGCACTTTCCTGTATTCCTGACTAGAAGTGGGGAAGACCTATGCAAAGCTTGGCTCTTCATAACACAAACACTCCTCCTCACTCCCTACAAGCAGGCTATACTGCTGTAGCCACAGGATGCATGTGGCTGCTGGAGACTTACCTTCCCCCCATCGAGTCCTCTCTTGAATTCTGCCCAAGTCCTAACCAATTTTAGAGACAAACAACAAACACAATGAGACTTGATGTGTTTTTCCTCACCCCTCCCTCCAACTCCTCCTGTTTCTCAAATGAACTCCTTCAAGAAATGAACCGTCCCTTTGTGTGACAGCAAACACAGATATTTCACAGGCACTCTCGTGGGACGGCGTTCAGCAGCATGCACACGCGCGGCTTTCATGTTTCCAAGTGTATTTAATGTGTGGGGCCCTTGGCAGCTCAAGGACGGCATTTCAAGTTGGGTAAAAAGACTGAAGCAAAGTTTTGATTGCTGAAAGAAACAGATCCTTAACAGACTTGATTGATAAAACATCGCACTTGGGCCGATTAAAGCAGGCAGCTCAGAAGTTTTTGCAAAGAAAGGAACAATTGATTTGGATGTCATACTTCCATTAGATCCCCAGAATAAGACTGCTGAAGCTTTAAATATTTATGAAGGTGAAAACTGGTTGGGAGCTCCAGCAGCATGAGAGTGCAAAGCCCTGGGACCTGCAGACAGGGGTGGTGCTGGCTGCTGGTTAGAAATGAGGTTCACGGGTACTGCTTTACTGGGCAGAGAAGGAAATGGCACACGTCTTTAGCATAAAGAGTTGCGTAATGTTTGGTTAATAAGGGCATGGTTGGGGCAAATAGGGTGCCATTTCCTCATCTCCTTGCAAGTTATCTTGGTTGCAGTTTGTTTGTCGAGGAGTATTACACTGGGAATGTGTGGGACAGTTGACTATTTACCAGATAGGGCTACTCTCCATAAATCCGCACTGGATCTGTGGGGTTTTTATGGAGAATTGCATGGAGAATTGCACGTCTTCCTCCTTGGCACATCACAGAGGTCCCTGTAGAGAAGTGACCTGCACCTGCTGACAGAATCTGTAATGCAAACACCTACATTTGCCCTTGATCGTTAATTAAGCCTCACCACATCCCTATAAGGGCTTGATCCTCTGAGCTCCCACTGGAAGTTGATAGATCCTTGTGGCACTCCTCCATATTCCTTCCTCAGCATGGGGAACTCATTGCCATAGGGAATTATAAGTAAATGAGTTATGAATGGATCTCATATACCTCAATGGATCAGTTTGCTAGAGGGATGTAATGAGGCTTAATTAACTATGGCCAAATTGTGAACCCCTTACTCAAGCAGTTATTCCTATGTGTTGGCTATTTGCAGCGTAAAGTACTATTCCGTGTGAGTAAGGGCATTGGAATTTGGCCTTGTATATAAGTGCAAAGTATTTCCTGTAGCATAATAAAAGGCAGGTTGAAAGTCCCTGTTTCAATGATTTTTTGTGTGTGTGTGAGAGCGAATATTCTCTTGTCAGGCACTATAATTTAGCTGATACACACACATACCCATTGTACAATACCTTAAAGTATCTATGCAAATTGGATCTTAATAGCATTCAGATAAATGGTTTAAGGAAGAAAAGGGATACAATAGTGTGTCACAGAGTTAATGTTATGGGCTCTACCTTCCAAATTGGCTCAGAGAAATTAGCAGGAAGGAAGGAAGGATCAGACAAAATAATAAACCTGCTTACCTGCTCATTAATTTAATCTTTTCTCTTTCTCTCTCGCTCTCCCTTTCTCATAGCTTTTGTGGTTTCTATAACTGTGGAATAACAACGGAATTGCAAAATCCTAGATGAAAGGGAGACTAGGTCTGAAAGCACAAAGATTAAAGAAGAGTTTTTAGGATTTGTCTTGGATTATTATTAATATTATTATTATTATTTTATTTTATCTTTCAGGTTTGTGATGGTTATTCCCTGTTCTTCTCACAGCTATTCTTCTGGATGTACTTATAGAGCACAGAAGCAGAGCATAGAGGCTCTTGGGTAAGTTCCCTGCATTTTTCTGAGGACATTATTGAAAATACTGATTATCAATGGAGCAGACTGCAGGAACCTTATATACCTCTAAAAATGAACTTTCTTTTAGCTGTATTTGTAACAGAGATGGGTCCAGACATGCCCCCTCCCCCAGATCCAAACACCTAAACTTTGAAGTAGTTCAGATTTAAATCCAAACTTTGTAGTTTTGGGCTTCGCTCTCATTTCTATACAGCTGAAAGGAGGTTTACATAACCACAGCTGGGTAGTTTCTTTTAATAGGATGTCTCTGTGGTCTGTTGCTTGTTGAAAAATGGTTACCCTAGTCCTGGACAGGTGACCAAAAGGAGTATTCCAAAGCATACACCCATGTCAAATTAGTTTTCTCTTGTTGAGGCCAGGGATGGGAGCTAGTGAGTTGATTCTCCTGTTGTTTGCTCAGCAGTTTGTTCTGTGGCTATGCACATTTATCTATTGTGCAGGCAGAACCTTTCCTTTAGTGTAGCCTGAACATCTCTGAGCTGTAGTTAGGTACATTTCTGGATATTGGAGATGTAGTGAATAGGCATTTGCAGAGTGTCAGACAAGGGGGAGGTGAAAAAGGGAAAAACAATTTCTAAATCACTCTGGGCTAGATTCTACCACCTCACTCATATTGCTGTCTACCTTACTCCATGATCTGCCCATTGAGTTCACTGGGGCTATTGGGAAAGTGAAGGTATGGCTCCGTGTGAGTAAGAGTGGAAGAAACTGGGTCTAGCTGTGTGGACAAAAATAAAAATAAAAGAAAGCCCTTATCAATGATGTAGTCTTTCCCTGGCGGATGTTCTGTATCTAGCTGGAACCACAAAGCTATGTTTTCGGTAAGGTGAGGATTATCTCAAGAACAGCTTTTCCCAGTGGATTTGGCTCTCCCAGTCCTGTCTGGAAGCAAAACCAAAACCAAAGGCTTGGCTCAGATTTCGGGAGGAGGGAAAGAAAGAATTCCCCTTTGCTCCGCACATCAGTACACAACCCTGCCAAAGCAGAATTGTAGCCTTTTACGTACATCTTGCACAGGGTAATGACAACAAGGTGCAGAGCAATGGGGAATCAGACCCAGGAATTCTTTTAGCACTTATTGTGGACTTTTCACAAAACCAGTAGGGGGAAAAAGAGACCCCAGAGAAAGCTCCTCACAAGTTTTGTGCATGTGCAGCCCCCTGATTCCCAGTGAACTGGGGAGGGCTCAGACAATGCCTGTCTGCAATCGAGATCTCCCTGACATGATCATCAGGCACTTCCTTGTTGGCTGGCTGCTCTTTCATGCAGGGGAGACCTGAAGCATCAAATCAGTGAAGCTCTCAGGCAGAGAGAAAGCTGAGCCAGGCTCGGAATATGATTTATGATGCCACTGAGCGTCTGGTTGGGTTTCGTACTGTAATGGCCTCTCAGCAAAGTAGTATCCAATTAGGTGACCCCCTGGGTCCCTCTTCTGATTTTTTTTTGAAGGGAAGGGGGTGTCACTTTTCCATTACTCTTTCAGTAGCCGTGCCGTCGAGGCTGGGATGAGGGACGTCTTGTGAGAGCAGTAACCTCACAAGGTGTCGTGGGGACCACTTAGGAAGCTCCAGGATCTTGGGGGGGGGGTCAGGGCGGAGGGCGCGGATAATTTGTTGTCTGGTAGAGGCGGCTGCAGTAAGTGAAGCCAGAAGGATAAAACGTCAGATATTACAGCGCACAGCAGTTACGTTCCCAGTGGCCGGGTTTGCAGCCTACTTCTCCAGTCTGTGACAAGCAAGGCAGCCCGATTCAATGGGGAGAGGAGAGAGAGAAGGCAGACCCAGCTCGAACTACAGCCATGCTCCTTTGAACCAGAAAACGCATAGGAACATATTGGGTAAGGCTCCAGTGGTTCCCAAATTTGTTCCACCGCTTGTGCAGGGAAAGCGCCTGGCAGGCCGGGCCGGTTTGTTTACCTGCCGTGTCCACAGGTTCGGCCGATCACGGCTCCCAGAAGCCGCGGTTCGATGCTCCCGGCCAATGGGAGCTGCTGGAAGCGGCGCGGGCTGAGGGACGTACTGGCCGCTGCTTCTAGCAGCTCCCATTGGCCAGGAGTGGTGAACCACGGCCACTGGGAGCCACGATCGGCCGAACCTGTGGACGCGGCAGGTAAACCAACCGGCCCGGCCCACCAGGGGCTTTCCCTGCACAACCAGCGGAACAAGTTTGGGAATCACTGGGGTAAGCCATGAGATGTCAGCAGGGAAGGGGTTAATATAACTACTGTTACTATAATATTACAGTAAAGCTTGGTGCCCCAGCTGATCCCCATTGCATCAAGGGCTGGACATACACCTAATGAGAGCTAGTCCCCGCCCCAAAGAACTTACACTGCACCTCAGTCTTGTCTTACTCCTAGAGACTTGCCCAAGGTCCCCCAGGTGGCTCTGTAATGCCAGCAACAGGTCGAACTTGTTGCTCTGTGCTCCTGCTCTCCAGGCAAGAATGGAATGGGAAGGGCGGCCAACCAGCTCTCCCATTCCGGAGGCAGCCTTGCCAGAGCAGCACCCTGTAGAGATGACTGGGAAGTACCATGGCTAGAAGCATTAGGAGCATGTAGTAATCTTGTATAAGGTGAATTCTCAGCTATAAGGCATGCCCCCGCTCTTAGGCCAGAAGATGGGTCTTCCTTCCAGGGTATTGCAGACACACATGCACACTATATACTAAAATAGACCATCCATTGGATTTATGCAAACTGTATTGAGCACTTGGGATAATTATTAATTTTCTCCGAGTTTCAGCACAACTTCTCCACTCTCTCTTACGGTGCAACATGAATCGTATGCTTCACTCTTTGGCCATAATGGTGTAGAATGGCTAACTAACCAAAACTGCAGGCTTCACTCACCCATCCTGACAGGTTCCCCTGTAATTGGCCCATGAAATTCCACAGCTGATCTGTGACTGGAGCAATGCTGCAGTTTCATCTCTCCCTTGCATGATACCTCTTTTGAAATGAGCCCAGGAGTAAAAGGTTCCTTTTTCAAGTGCTTCTACCTCCCACCTCTCATTCAACAAAGGGGGGCGAGAGGGGAGAACCCAAGATGATAGACCAACTGTGCTGATTAATTGAAGAACTCTAACTAATGCCCTTTATGTTTTACATAATAATATAAAGCTTTATTCAGAGACAACAGCCTCCTACATCAAAGATTCCTCTCTCTCATTCTGAACTTTTGAGCCCTTCTCCATGCAATTAATGCAGAAAGATCTAAATAAAGTTACACAGAGCAGCCTGCCGATAATATCTTGAACTGTGAAGCAGGGCTCGCTCCGCTCTGCAGGCAGAATCACAAAAGCTGCTTTGCTTGATATTCCTTGCCTGCAGGGTCCCATTTCACTATTGTTAGATTGTGTGTGTGTATGTGTAAAAGGAGAAATTGCTTGAGCTGGCACAGTGACTGGAGGTTGCAATGCTCTTTATCCCACAAAGCTGGCGTAGAAGAGAGGTCTGAGAAGGAAGTCGTGTAATTGATTCTGGAATATCAAAGCCATGCCGGGAAAGCTTGCATCAGGCACTGCACAAATACTTTGGGACAGACTCTGATGCCCTTCCTCACGCCAAGTATCATCTTGCTCAGTGAGCCGTCCCTGTGGAAACCCGTGGGATTAATTGCAGAGTAGTGTGCACTGCCATGTGATTAAGGGCAGCAGAATGTAAACTGTTGTTATGAGTTAACAGGCTTTGCCATGGGCCCAATCTATGGGGTAGTGAGTTGCTCTGCTGCTCGAAGAGCATAGCAGGGAACGAATCTCCTGCTTCAAGAGTGATGTGCCCTGTGTCCTCCCTACGCTTGGCACAGAATACAGCCCCTGTGCGGCAGCTCACCTGAAGGTCCTGGTGTGTTGGAGGGAAGCCAAGGCTCCTTCCACTCCTGGCTCCTGCCTGCCCACTCTCCACCAGCTGCAGGGGATGGGGAGTCTTTCCACTGACTTCTGTCCCATCTAAGCCCCCTTGTGTGTGGGATTTTTGCTTGTGTTCTTCATCACAGCTGGTCTTTTTGCAAAAGCCTGAAAATATTTTTTCCTCTCTAGTTTCCACTTGGCAATTAAATGATGACGATTTGCCTCCACCCCTTGTTTTCCAATGAAGCATGAACCAGCATGGAGTAGTTAAAGAGGGGAGTCCATCTGGAGTGGCTAGGAGAGACAATGGGGTGTGAGAGGGTGCTCTCATCAAGGAAGGGAACTTGCAGGCTTAGTAATTGCAGCCTGTGCTGGCCCCATCGTGCAGCTGCGACACCGTGCGTCCTGGTATAGTAGAGAGCAGCCGTAAGCCGAAAAGCAAGAGAAATGGTCTGATCTTCTGAGGACTGATTCTACTGCAATGCAGAGAGGGGTCTGAACCAGAACACCAGGTCTGAGCACTGCTAAATGCTTGGTGAGGCCAAATGTGGTCGGGGGGAGTTTGGATTTGGATCCAAAGCTTTGTTGTGGAGAGATCGCCCCCCTCTCTGGGATGTTAAATCTGGCTTCTAAAACCAGGAGTCTGCCACCCACTCACTGTTTTGAGCCTGGGAAAGCCACACACGCTCAGCTAACCCACCTGAGGACATGAGAAAGAGGAGCAGATGCTGCGTCAAAGGAGAACTATGCAGAGGAAGCTAGCTATGATTAAGAACGTCCTCCTTCTCCTTTATAGTTCATACGTGTCTTCGTTTCAGAGAGGCCAGTTAGCCTTCGCTGCACGTCAGAGTGTGGCTTTGATGAATAAGGAAGCAGTAAGATTCACTCTGCTGTTCAGGCCTTTGCACCCCATGTATGGTATGTACTCCCTGGTGCCTGGGAGATCCATTCCTTCGTACTGTACAGAGCTTCTTTTCCACACCTTATTGCAGGATAAGCTGTACATTTCTGTTCTTAGATCTCTGCAAAATGCTAATTGTGTGCCTGGCCTCTCCAAGATAACAAGGGAAAACCTCCCCTCATTAGCACTGCAGTCTGTGGGTGAAGGAAATCAA